AATCTTAAGAACTGATTGTCTAATATTTTCATATCAATAAAAAAAAAGATATTTTCACATAAATTTGCCGAAATTGTAATTACATAATTTCTCCACACTATATGTCACGGTGTAACATGATAAAAATCTCAAGAAATGATTATGTAATATTTTCTTATCAATAAAGTAGACATTTTCACATAAATTTGCAGAAATTGTAATTACATAATTTTTTAACGTTAACCCAACAAAATTTGATAAACTAAAAAGCAAATAAAAACGCATATAAATACTCGGAAATAACTCTTTATAAGTAACGTATCTAAAATTAGAATTCTCTTTTTTACTTGCTATATATAATTTAAAAAAGATTTAAAGCAGATTACATGGATGATAAAATCAGATAAATAGTAAAGCGAAAAATAGTGTACTCTCTTTCCTAATTTCAAGCATCCAGTGAATTCGCATACCATGCGTTGACAATTATGCGTGTCTACAAGCGAGATATGGGAACAATTCCGTGGATTTTGATGAAGAATGCGTGGACAAATGCGTGTGCAACTACAGACACGATCAGGATGCAGATGTGATTATTATTGTTGCGCATTAGAACGCGTTCTCGTTTAACACAGCGTTTTTTTTTTTTTTTTTTTTTTCAATTAAAACTAACTGTATTCGATTGTGCGTTGTATGTAACAATACGGTTGATCGATCGGCGTTAAACTCTTTAATCATCGTCCGTTTGGTACGATGCGAAACGCGCAGTGATAAAATTTTAGGCAACACCGGTTTTTATTCGTTTCATCATTGTCTCGCGATGTAACGACGCAACTAACGCTCGCAACAACGATTTCAACAACGCGTTTCGTTTTCAAAACTATTTCGCATTTAGGTGCAAATATTTTTCTTCTTCAAGAAACTTCACTGTTGCCTGCAGGGGTAAAAAAGAAAAGTAATTTCGCGCTTTAATGCAGTGCACAAACGTAACTAATAATTTTTTACAAATAATCAACTTTTTTTCTCTTTTTCTCCGTAAAAGATGTGTATAAATAAATATGTAAAAAAGCAATAGCATAAAAAGCAGCCCCCCTCCCTCCCAGCGCATAACTTTAAAACATATATCCGTATTTTAGATATCCCTATTTCTTTTCTCCATTTTGCAAGGATGCTACGAAAAAATAATGACAATGTATATTAGCAAAAATATTCGTACGCGAAGCATTTGAATAAAAGAAAAAGTAGCAGAAGTAGAAATGTGTACCGTAAATTTATTGCACAACTGCATTGCTTTTACGGCATTATGGTGTGCACATGTCACTATCTAGCATAAATATTTAAAAATGTTTTACATTCTTTACATTCAAACATTCGTTTTATCATTTTTACAGATTTTTCGTTTCGTTTTTCGTTCCTCAACCGACCCGAAAGACTCTGTTCTTTATACATAGTAGAATGTATCTACTTGCATTACCATCGCGTGCGTTTTTTTTTGTATCGTGCCCCGACTGCTTTCTCCCTCATCACTACCCCCATTAAGTTAGCCCCCCCACCAGCGCTAAATAAGTTTTAAAGAATGTATCTACTTGCATTACCATCGCGTGCGTTTTTTTTTTGTATCGTGCCCCGACTGCTTTCTCCCTCATCACTGGCGGTTGACCAGGTGAATCTGCATCCATTTTCCTGACGTGACTTGAGCGCGCGGTAACATTGATGAAAATCTCACTTCAGACACCACCGCGCATCATGTTTTAACGAGCGGCAGACTGGAAAATGCATGATGTTATTTTTACGCATATCTCGCATCTTTCATGCATTTCCATATTTCCACCGTGAAGCTTTCTCTTATGCTCCTTTCTCTTTCTCACCGCTAATGACTCGCACGGTGGTTGTATATGCATACGAACGTGTATACGTGAGCTTGGGATAAACGATCCGTGTTGTACTTGAAGATTGATCGACTGATGCTGAGAATTTTAATTAGAAGCACTTTCATCGTGTTTACCACCGTAAATCAAATGCCTGTTAAAAACTTTAATATGTGTGCATACCTGTATTGTTTTTCGATTGTTTCTCTCACGTTTTCTTTTTACAGTACGCATTAAATAAAAAAATTTCTACTATTTTAGCCCATTTAAGAATATCGTGAAAATACATACCATAATGTGATACAGATAAATAATCAGATATACAACGTATCATCGATAAAAGCTGGTTTGTAAATCACACAAAAATAATAAATATTGCAATAAATTTAAAAAATATTGAAAGATACATTAGAAAAAAATACAAGCTTTAAAAGATTTTTTTATATAATTTGCTATTATCATTATATGCAATTTTTATTAAAAAAAAAAGACTTTATGCTTTAAATA